AATGTAATTGTGTGGGATAAGCAAGCATCTAAAAAATGAAATTTAGGGTCAGAACACACCCTACCGTTTATTAGGAGAAAATTCCCATACACGTGTAATTACAAGAAATAACACAGTGGGGCCGGGGAGATGGCTCAGTGAAATAAGTGCTTTGCTGGCAAGAGCAAGGGCCTGAGTTCAATCCCCAGTTCCACCAAAAAAAAAAAAAAAAAGAAGAAGAAGAAGAAGAGAAATAACACAGAGATCCCACCAGCTTACCTTATGTCCCTGTCTCCTATCACTTTAATACCAGTTCACAAAAGGAAATTGCCTTAGATACATTTCACAGACCTCAGATCTCACGAATCTTGTGTTTGTGTGGGCACATGCATAGGTTTAGCCCTGTGCAACCCCATTTCTTATGTAGACGTGTGAACCTGCACCACAGTCAGGGTGCAGGACCAGGTCTAGGACTGCTGCTTCTTTCTGGCCGAAGTCAGCATCCCCCTTCTTCGCTGACTATCGGTGCTGACCATCAGCTTTGATCCACTAGCAACTTTGTTTTTCAGACAGGCTGGCCTTGAACTCACGAGGATCTTCCTGCCTCGGCTTCCTGGTGCTGGGATTACAGGCAGCGGGCAATGAGCAACTATGAATCCTTTAATTGTAAATCACAATGCCAGGCTTAGAGATTGATATAACCAAACCGCGGCCCAGTGGGCAGGGGATCAAGGGGGAAACAGACAGCTGGGATCAAATCACCGAGGGCCACTTTGTATCTTGGCTCTCTGTCCCTTTATTCTTCACTAAAATTAAGCTATAGTAATGGGGTTCACAGAGTTCTTATAGGATGAGATGGGGTTCGCACAATAAGTGCAAAGTGACCGTCACACGTAGGTGGAAGTTACTGTCCAAGAACTCACAATGCCGCGGAGCACACGCAGAACTCTTGCCAGGTCATGGGTGTGATGTACGACGCGCCATCCCAGTGCCGTGGAGGACCAGCAGGGAGCGGTTCGCTCTGGGTGCGGAAGGCTGGGATTGGCTTCGCAGCAAAGAAACCTCTGGGCTGGGCTTTGAAGCATGAGTAAGACAGACAGAAATAGAAGGGAAGGAAATGCTGCAGGCTGACAAAACAGCTCGATCTGCGGCTCGAGGAGGCAGAGGCCATTCCCAGGGAGGACGGAAAATTAGAACAAAAGGCTGGGAGGACGCTGGGGGGCGGGGGTAGGGGGGCGGCAGCCGTGGAGATCCGGAGAGGGCTGCGCCAGGCTGGAGGAGAGCGTGCAGGTCACGCTGCCCTGAGACCACAGCTCCCCCGCAGAGGAGCAGCAGAGACCGAGCCCACGAGAGGAGAGGCGAGAGAAAGGCCTTCCCGCGTCGCAGAGCGCACACAGCCATGATTCACTGCCAGCAGCAGCAGCGCGGGCAACACGTTCGCCGCAGTGACAGTTTGGGGCCCGGGCAGGCGAAGTCATTACACTGATTCACGCCAAGACGTGTCCACGCCCTGCCAGCCCAGTTTCCACGTTAGCCAGGTGTTTGCAATTCAGCAACCTCAGACCATCCTCTCGGGAGGTTTCCAAAGGAAGCCGCTGGGTAGAGACTTCCGGGCCCCTCCCCCAGCTCTGCTGTCCCGGGGTCTGCAGGGCCTGCCTGACCACTGGCCACCCCAGACTCCGGAAGGCTGGCTCTCTGACAGCAAGGGGTCCAGCCTACCCCTTCCTATGGCTTCCTCTCTCTCTCTCTCCATCCCGGGCTGAACTGTCTCCCTAGTTGTTTGCTGCGGCCCTCGCTGCTCATTCTGATCCACTCAGAGATTCCAGCCTTTCCTTTCGCAACAGAACCTTGCCGCTCCAGTCCCAGGTGTCCCCAGGGGCCCTGCCGCCGCCCACGCTGGGCTCGGGTGTGGCACGCGCAGCCAGAGCCAATTACCTTGCGCTTCTGCTTTGAGAAGTGTTCTCTATCAGCCACTTGTACTGGCTATTTTTTTTTTTTTTTTTTTTTAAGAGACAAGGGGAGGACAAAGTGCTCATTTCATTTGCTTAACCAAATTCTATGGCTAAGCTTACTCAGTGTGAAAGCAATGACTTCATGGCGACTTCAGATGCCTTGCAGGACGGAGAAATGGCTCTTGCTCAGTGGGCGGTGGTGGAGATGATTTATGGTTCGGCTCAGAAAACTAACAATAATAATGGGAAACACTCACCTTCCTTCTACACAAAGTTCAGTACGTGGACTAGTCAGAAATGAAACATAAAAGCCAGGCGTGGTGGCATATGCCTGTAATCTCAGCACTGGGAGGGCTGGACCAGGAGGATCACTCAGTTTGAGGCCAGCTTGAGTGGCATAGTGAGACCCTGCCTCAAAAAGATAAAAAGAAAGAAATGAAATGTAGCCAAACAAGACTTAGAAATAAGTACCCTCAAGTACCCTTAAGACAATAGCCTCTTGTCCTCCACATGAAAGAGCTCGCTTTTTTCTCTAGCCAGCATTTTAACTTCCCAGAGAAGTCTCCATTGCTTAAGTTGCTGGTGAAAGTTGACCCGGTGGTACATGTCATGGGCCAGTGCCCTCCTAGCTAAACACATCAATCCATTCTCTCATGCCCCTGTACATCTTAGAGAAAAAAAATTTTTTAAAAAATTCGTTTGTAGCTGTCAAATCAAATTCTTTCTGTCAATAAACCAAACACCTGACTGTATTACTTGAAAAACTGCACACAATAATCCAGGGAAATCAAGCCTGAGAAAGAAGCAGAAGATAAAGCAAGCAAGCTTGAATTTTGCTACTTTTGTAGCCCCAGCCCAACAAATGTTTGGAAAAATGCCAATGTCTTGAGCCCCTCCAAGAACCTTTCACACAAGGAAACCCTGTATCTTTTCACATTTTGTTTAAAGCGCCATGGGGTCTGTGAGTGCTGGTGGCCTTTGCTTTTCCACCTTTCTCCCTAGCAGAGGATGGTCAGCCCAGGAAGAGGAAGTGTCACGTAAAAAGTACCCAGGAAGGAGGATCTGTTTTTAATTCAATGTGGTAGAATAATTATTAGGAAGTTAATTGTGCCCTAGGTCTCACCGAAGCAAATGAAAGGTCACTTCCTTTCCTCTTACAGATCCCGTCACCCTCTGCTTCCCTTCCCCAGGAAGGTTTGGATTGGCTTTGTTTTTGAAAAGTCCAGGAATATGGCAAACACTGACCCTACACAGATCACCTGAAGACATTGTTAATAACAGCTGTACCTCTCCATGGACCACGCAGTATGGTGCTAGGACTGCCCTGACCTCCTCTGTACCACGGACGTGGCCATGGTGGCTGGAATACAGTAACTGTCCAATAAATATGTAATCACGTGGGCTACTTGGTTAGTAGGGGCCACGCAGCGCTGCTTGACTGCTTACACAGAAAGCAACTTCACTGCCTCCCTCAGTTCTTACTTGCATGGCTTAGAAAGCTTTGTTTGAAGCACAGCAACTGGGCCCTGTGCATAAGCCCGCCTAGCTAGTTTTAAGCATATTGCAATGTAGTGTTATTAAAACATGTTTTTAAATTTTTTAAAAAAATATATAGCAAAAGGCATGGACCTTTATTCCCCTCTGAGTCCCCCCCACCCCACCCCAGCACACTTAGCTCATCTCTCTGGCCACTTTCCGAAGCAGGGCTGGTTGTGCTGGCCTGGCCGCCTTCATGTTCTGAATCAAGATTCAAAACCTTTACTTTTTCACTTTGACTCTGGAGAAGAGCCAGAAATTGCACAGTGCCAGGGTGGGTGACTAAGGTGGATGAGAACACAGCATCATGCTTTTATTCGACAAAAATTGCTGTAAATGTTTGGATTCAGGACATCTAGGCAGCCGCAGAAAGATAGTCACAAAAGAGGATTCTGAGTGACAAGAAAGATGGGGTAGGTGTGTTCAAAGCTGGGGGGATGTCTGAGGGGAGATTAACGACAACGGATTTCCTACTGTGATAATTATTTTAAGCACACACTATTTTTTGCTCCGTCCTTCTGAGTAGTTTTCATTTCGATGTTTCAGAAAGAAGCAAAATTCTCACAATCCTCCACATGCTTCTCTAAGGCCGCAGAATGTACCGAGAGCCCATTATACAACATCACAGCACCTGGTGTCCAGATCTGCCCAAACCCTAGATGCAAAGCACCTGTGTCCGCTCAGGACCACGCGCTCCACCGCCAGAGCCAAGCACCTGTTTTGCCTGGCAGGCGAGAGCAGGGAGTTAGCGCTTTCCAATTCTCAATTTTTCGTCTTTGAAAAGTGGCCAAGAAACTCGGAAAACTCGAAATCCCAATGACTCGCACCATAAAATCCCTGCAAAACCCGCCTGGTGCTTCCCAGAGAAGCTGGACCTCCCCATGCCCAAGGCAGGCAGCAGTGGGAATCCTTTACCTGCGGAGTCCTCCGGATCTCTGAGCCGCAAGGACCCTGAGATCTGGGGTGGCCTCGGGGGTTCCGAGTCCCAAGGCTTGGGGAGACCTGAGGGAACACAGTGGGGACACTTACGCATCCGAGGACCCTGGACGGAGGCCGTGCAGGGCCTCACCTTCCCTTTGGACTCCGCACCTGCAGCCTCGGGCGGGGGAGGGGCTGCTACAGCTGCACGCGGGAGGAGTGGGCCGTGCCCCGGGGTGGGGAGAGGGGCCCGAGCTCGGCTCCCTGCCCGTGCCCGCGCACCTGCCCGCTGCCCGCGAAGCTTCATTAGGCCGCGCCTGGGTTGGGGGGCAGCGGCGTGGAGTCAGTCATGGAGGTCACGCGGGGGCCGTGTGCGGAGCTGAGGGGTGAGCACACCAAGGGGCTGTCGCTGCCTAGGGGCCCAAGGAGGCCCTGAGCTGGGTAGCAGCCTCGCCTCTTTGGGGTTTCGATCCCCTCTTGGCAGGGTCTAGGGCTCAGGGCCCGGGGCGCTGGCCCGGGAGCTCCAGTCCTGGAGACTGAGTTCTGACATCAGTCATCTTTTCTCACTAGGGCAGGTCACTGCCACCAAGAACGTGTCTGTTAAGCGCCTACTTGACTGTACCAGATTAAGGGCCACTCCCGGACATGTCCCCCACCCTTTCCTGCCACTCCTCCACCAGCCCCAGTCCAGCTTCTGCAAAGCGGGTCTCGTGTGTGCCCAAGGAAATCGGGCAGTAGCACCAACTTACTGCCTTAGTTCTGCTTAGAAAGGAACTTCTTAGGACACAATGTGTTGTCAGGCTTCCGTTTAAATCCAAAGGCCTCACTCAGTCTCTGGTTAGCGCTAATTTTTCAATTCCCGGGTTTCGCTGGAAATGATGGGGGGGGTGTCTACAAGCCCGAGCGACCCCAGAAACAACTAGAGCACAGTGCCCCTGTGCCAAGGAACCTGGAGACTCGTTGGTCTTCCTCACAGGGTTAGGTGCCAGCCTCCAGCTCTGGTCGCTAGAAGGTGCTTCCTCACCAGCTTGCCTTCCAACCCGGGGCCAAGGACCCCTCTGAGTTGGGCATATTTGCTATTTATTCATCTATTATTTAGTTTGTTTTATTGAGACAGAGTCTCGTTATGCAGTTCAGGCTGGCCCTCAGCTCACTTTGTAGACCAGACTGGTCTCAAATTCACAGCGATCCTCCTGCCTCCATCTCCCTAGCGCTGGGGTTACAGGGGTGCGCCACCATACCTGGCTGCATGTATTTGTTATGTTTTTGCAAGGCAGCTGGGTTACCTAATTTGATCCTGCCAACCCAGGAGCTGGAAAGGCAAGTCTGGAATTGTGAGCCCATTTGACAGATAAGCAAAAGAAAGCTCGGGACCCAACGTCAGAGCCCCTGCAGGCCAGGAAGCAGAGCTTCCTTCCAGCCAGGCCTCTTTCCTCCCTCCCTCACGCCCCGTGCAGCTCCTGCAGGCCAGGAAGGTGGAGGCCCGAAGCCGGCTGCCAGGCTGGAGGACAGGGAACAGCGGCAGGGCCCAGCCAGCTACAGTGAGGATGCCCAGAGAGAGAAGCCGCCACTGCCTCGCACCCCCTCTGCAAAAACGCAGTCAGAGGCATGTGGAGAGCTGGCACAGGCTCAGGCCGGTAGTGGGCGCCAGGCCCTGAGTTCCAGGCCTCTGCCCAAGGACAGATCCCAGATCCCATCCAAAGTGCAACCTCATGGGGAGTACAAGCTTGGAAAGAGGCCCCACTCACCAGCCCCTGGAAAGCAGAAGAGGCCCAGCACCCTGGGTCCAGCATCTGCAGCACCTCCCAGTAGCAGTCACTCAACCCGGACCAAGCACAACCCTGTGCCTTGTGGGTCAGGCCGGGGCCCCTGCCACCTGGCCAACCTACTCAACACCCTGGCCCAGAACAACCCAAACACAGAGCAGAACAAGGGGCCCCCGGAAGCGACCTGCCAAGTTCGGAAAAAGACTCGAACCCTCTACCGCTCAGGTGAGTCCCCACAGAAGAAATCAGGTGACCTCTGCGAAAGAGGGTAGAGCTCAAAAGAGAACAGTGTCCCAGGAGACCAAAGGCTGTGCTTAGTCTGGATGTTATTTTGTTCTTAATCCCACTCTTAGGACCAAGGGCCAGGCTGTGTTGTTGAGTCAGAAAGTAAGGTTGGAGGAGGCTGTGGTGGTACATGCCTGTAATCCCAGCTCTCTGAGGTGAAGGCAGGAAGACCACAAGGTCAAGCTCATCCAGGGCATCTAATGATTTAGCAAGACATTGATTCACAATAAAAGCCTTAGGGATGGAACTCTTTGGGAAAGCCCTAGAGTCAGTTCCTAGTACCATGGGGAAAAAAAAAAAAAAAGCATGAAGTCAGGAAAGTAAAGCCGTACAGGTCTCTGGACAGTGCCCAAGAGCAAGTGAAAGCCTGGCGCACTGGGGAGCCTCGCTGTGGAGCCTTGGGAGTGCGGATGGTAGGCATCGTCTCTCCTCGTGAAACTCATGTTCAATCCCCTGCTTCCAGACCAGCTGGAGGAGCTAGAGAGGGTTTTCCAAGAGGACCACTATCCTGACAGTGACAAGCGTCGGGAGATTGCCCAGATGGTGGGGGTCAACCCCCAGCGCATCATGGTAAGGGGGACTGGCTAGGCCATGCAGGGAGGGGACAGCTCAAAGAGGAGGCCACCATACTGACCTTTTGATAAAACCATGCTAGCAGACAGGCAGCTGAAAAAATGGGAAAGTTGCGTCCCCATCCTATAACCCATGTCGTGCCATCCAGGCAAGCTCAGAGCCCCTTGCCCTGCAGGTGTGGTTCCAGAATCGCAGGGCAAAGTGGCGAAAACTAGAGAAACTGAATGGGAAGGAAAAACAGGACAACACTGCTGCCCCTGCTAGCAGTCAAGGCAGGTAAGTGTCCTCTTCCTGCCTTCCTGTCCTGCCCTCCCCAGCAGGCAACTCAATCCTGGAGAGACATGGAGGCTGGGCTTGTATCCTGGGAACCTGGCTGGTATGTAGAGGGTTTGACTAGAATGCTAGGAAATGGTGGGTGCCCTGTGGAAGGCAGACTTGTGGGGCCCTGTGTCCTGACCCTGTCCCGAGGCTGTGGTCCACATCTAGAGAACCCCCAGCTGAGGCCTTGCTTCTCTCCGCCTCCAGCTCCACCGCTGAGACCCTACCTGCTGTGCCCCTGGACCCAGAGCCTGGCGCATTCCCTCTGGAACCACCTCTGGATACCTTTCCAGGTGAGCTCTGTCCTTCAGAGGGCTCACTGGGAGGATCTGGAAACTACAAAGACAGGGACAACAGAGGGTGCCTGCTGGAAGAGGTAGGGGTGCATGGAGGTTCTCAGGGGTTTGGGCCACAGGGTCCCGTTCAAAGCAACCTGGGCATTACATAAAGTGGACCCTCTGCATCCCAGGATTGAGTCCCATCTTCTGATTCTTGGGTTTCCTTTTTGTCTGCTGTTCCTAGAGCCCCCCATGCTGCTGACCTCAGACCAGGCCTTGGCCCCCATCCAACAGACTGAGGGTGCTAAGAGGGTAGCAGTGAGCCCACCGCTCTTCAGCCCTCCACCTCTGCAGAGAACCAACTTTCCTTTTCCTCTGGGCCCTGTCCACACCCCACAATTAATGCCTCTGCTGATGGATGCCCCTGTCAGTCACCAAAGCCACAGGGACGGCCCCTGGGGGACAAGGTATGGGGCCTGAGAAAGCAACCTGGGTCACCTTGAGAGGATGTTGTTGCATGTTGGGGTGTCTGCCAAGATGGGGTCAGGAAGGGGGAACATTGGAGGCCATCTCTGCACCTCACTGAACCCTCCCCTGTCACCCATAGCATCACCCCACCACATACCTTCTCGTATTTGGAAGACCTGGAGTCCCAGGATTACCAGCCAAGCTACCAGTTCTCCCAGCCTCCACCAAGCCAGCTGTTCCAAGGCCACCAGCCCCATCTGCCCTACCTGCCACCCTTGCCCTTCCCCATGCCGGGCTCCCTGTCATTTCCACCACCAGAAGATACACTCTTTTCATTTCCTTGTGGCTCTGCTGGGGGCCCATCACAGAGCTTCTGCCCAGGGCCCCCCTCGGGGCAGATCCTGCTGCAGCAGCCATCTGCTGGGAATATGGGTGAGTGGGGGCTAGAAAAGGAAGTGCCCGTTGGGATTGAGGAAGGCGTGAGGGGGGCAGAGAGCCTTGCACTCTGGAGGGTTAGACTGAGGCTAAGGCATGCATGGGAAGCAAATCCACTTCATCTGGTACAGCTGAGCCAGTCATAATGCTCCTGAGTCTGTCAGACAAGAGTAGGATTAAGAGTCCCAATATCACGGATTTGGTGGGGATTAGCAATGATGTGAGTGGCGATACTTCTTGTCACGGTAGATGGCAACTTTTATTAGTGTTCTGCAGGGTCACTTTGCACTTTTAAAATCCCAATGCATACCTCATTTACTCAATTCTAGCTGGTGGAGGATCCCATGTAGGCCCTCAGGTCCAGGTGGTTCCCTACCTCCTGAGGGCCTACATGGGACTTTGCCTGACCAAACCACAGAACCTGGATGCCAGGAATTGCACTGGGATCCTGGGCTGTGGCTCCCCGGACAGGGATGAGGGCAGTCTTTTTCAGAACACACTGAAGGATGTCTGCTACTTGGTCACCCAGGGACACCTCTACCCTTTGACTCCACAGGCACCATCCCCTGGAGTGACCCCTATCTGCCCGAACTGCCCTTCCCGGGCCCGTTCTGCACACAGACTCCGGGGCACCCCCCAGGAGGAGACAGCTACTTCTCTGACCTATTTGCACCTGTCTGCACCCCGGCTACCAGCAGTCAGCCTTCACCAGCGTTCACCCAGCTGCCAGAAAGGGCCAAACCGGGACCTGGACCCCTCCCTAGCAAGGTGCAGGAGGAGCAGGCTGCCTCTGCCCTGGAACAGCCCAGGGTACCAGCAGAGGCCAGAGAGGAAGATAAGAATAGCCAGGTCCCCTCATTGGTGGCCAAAGAGTGATGGGGTCCATGGTGGTGCAGGAGTGGGGCACCACATGGAGGAGTGTGATTGGAAGGCTGCGAACACAGAGGACTGTGGACTGAGGCCAACCCTTGCTTGACTGTGGGTTTGTCTTTCTTGCTGGGCATTCTCTAGAAGAGGAAACGCGCAGGCCCTACCCTTCACCCCGTGCCTATATACCCTGGTCATGCAGAGAAGCCTGTGTTACTGTTGTTAGCAGTTTGTTTCCTCGTCTCTGTAGACACTGAGCTAGTGTGTCACTGTATGCAATAAAGCAGTCCACCACTGGGCTTTTCTCTGTGCATCTTCTCCCTCGGCTAGTGAAGAGCTCTGTGTTTTACCCACAAACTGGCCCATTGCTCGATGGGCTTGACGGGAGAGGTCTCTACTGGGTACAAGAACACGGAGCCTACCGTTGTCCCCAGCCCTTCTCGCCACTGATGGAGGACCTGGGCATTGTGAGCTTTTCTTTCCATCTTACCATTCAGCTGTGTTCTATTCCCAAACCCAAAACTGAACCTGAGTCTGGCGCTCTTTGTAAAATTTGGGTCCTATGCATGGCAAGGCAAGAGGATGCTGAGGCCATTTGCAGTCAGGCGTTCTTTCCCCAAAGCTCTTCTTATAATGAGGGGAGAGAAGGAGGGAGGGGTGGGGGGCAACCCAAACAAAGATAGCCACATACTTTCTTCCTTCACCGGGCGGAGCTTCAGTACCCTGGACTGTTGGCCCAGACTTCACCGGATGGGGATGAGGAATCCAGAGTCTTCCCCGTCTCCTCTACTCCAGCTTGCCAAGGCATCAAGTGACGCATTGCTAGGCACCATGAGAAGTCACCCGAAATAATCACTGGTCCTTAGTTAATTTTTGCCAATGAACCGTAGTTGGCTGCTTTTATTAATTTCTTTTGCCCTGTGGGATTGGGAGCTACTCTCAGGAGCTTCGGGAGGGGCTGAGGGTGCAAGAGACAACAAGGATGAGAAATGTTTGCTAAGAGCCCAGATAGTTGGGCATGCAGTTAGGGTCCCACATCTACAGCCAGGCAGTGTTGAAACACAGTAAGTCCTTGACTTACAAACCTTTGCGTCGCAAACTTTCACAGCTACGAAAGGGCCTGGCATTGGGGACATCAGTAGATGTAAACAAATTGGCGATATCTGCTGACAAGGTCATGGTTGTGCTGGTGTGTGTTACTGTACCGTGTGATAGTGTGTGTATGTTTGTTTGTTTTTTACGCTTTATATCGTATGTTTCTTTTTTAAATACAAGTTAGAATTAAAACAGAAAAATAAGTGATACAGAATTTCACTTAACAAAGTAATATGAATTTCACAGTATTTGTTACAATACATAGTGTTGTCTTCCAACCAGTTATTCATATTACCAGAGATATGCAGGTAAATTGGAAGGAAGAAAAAAAGAAATGTATAGGGAATTAAGAGAAAGGACCAGGCAGATAGCTCAGCAGATTAAAGCACCTGCTTAAGCAGCTGCGGGGGCCAGGGGTTTGATCCCCAGCCTGCCTTGCCAGCCCCACCCCCAGGGCACTCTGAGACAGCGATTAAGACTGGGCGGAGTGGTGTGTGTCTGTAATCCCAGTGCTTGGAAGGCTGAAAAACAGGATCACTACAAGTCCAATCTGTGTAGAGAGACCCTGTACACCTTGTACTAAATATAAAAAATATACACAATTTAAAAATGGAGATGAAACAAAGCATTAACTGCTTCTTTCCATAGACCAGCAGAGTGCACAGTACAGTTGTCCAACCATCCTGCTTACATACGCAGATAGTTCTTTTTCCCCCACTCCCTCTCCTGTCCTCCTCAACCCAGTAACTCTTTCCTTTTAAATGTTTACTCCCTTTTCTCAGTGTCTAGTGTACCTTTCATATTTCATTTTTCTCTTTCAGGTTCTCACATTAAGGAGACAATATATTTGCACTTGCGGGACTGATTTATTTCACTTAAGAGTATGTTCTCTCATTGCATCCATTTACCAATAAAAGACTCAAGTTTATCTTGTTTTATAGCTGAATAATACCCCATCATGTAAGAATACCACATCCTTATCCTTTCTTCAGTTGATGGGCATCTGGGTTGTTTCCAGGATTTAGCTTTGACAAATTGCACTGCTATAAACATGTGTGCACATATATTGCTGTGGTATGAGGCTTTCAGTTCTTCTAGAAAAATACCCAGGAGGGGAATAACTGGCTTGAATGAGACCTTCAACCACAGCTTTTGAAGGAATCTCCACACTGATTCCTGTAGTGGTTGTACCAGTCTGCGCCTCCACCAGCAGTGCAGAAGGGCTCCTTTTTCTCCGCAGCCTCTCCAGCATTTGTTACTGGCTAACTTCTTGATGATAGCCATTTTGTCTGCAGCGAGGTGGAATCTCACAGTGTTGTTCTAATTTGCATTTCTATTGTATGCTTCTGTCAAAGGCGTATACCATTTACTTTGTTGAATTTGCAAACAAACCAACTTACAAATATTCTCCTGGAATGGAACTCCTTTAGAAGCCCCAAGCTTCCTGTGGTTAGGCTTTGAGGGCTATTGGTTCAGATCATTCCATTATCATTTAGTACAGTATTTGTGGACATAGGATTTCATTCTAGGCATCCAAAAAATTGTAAGTTTATTGAAAAGTGTGCACAGGGGCCGGCCAGATAGCTCAGTGGGTTAAAGTGCCTACTTAGGCAGATGCAGGGGCCGGGGATCCAATCCCCATTCTGCCATGCTGGCCCCATCCCAGGGGTGTGCTGAGACAGCAGTTGAGACTGGGCATGGTGGTGCACATCCGTAATCCCAGATCTTGGGAAGCCGTAAGCAGGAGAATCACTACAAGTCTGATCTGTGTAGTGAGACCTTGTACTAAATACAAAAAAGAAAAAAGTATACATAAAAATCATGAGATAATTAACCCATATCCATCAGTAATTCTTAGGTCAAAGCCTATAAGAACAGAAAAGGTAAAAATTCACAAATGGGTAAGAAACTTCCTAGTCTTTTATCTGCATAGCAGGTTCTTGATGTTGATAGGTTCTGCGTCCACAGAACCCACTAACTGAATCAAAAACATTCAGAAAGCAATTGTGTCCACACCAAACATAGACATTTGCTTGCTATCTCCTAAACAAGAAAGCAAACTGTTTACTCGAAAGGTTTGAGATAGTAATCTAAACTATCTATATATAGTATAGATAAGGATGCATGTAGGTTCTATGCAAATAGGCAAGTGTTATGCCATTGTATAAAAGGGTCGCCCATATTTACAGACTTTGGTACCCATGGGAGTCCTAGAACCAAGCCACCATGGATATTTGCAGATAACTCTGTAATCCTTTATTTTTTTTTAATGTCTTTTTATGAGACATGGTCTCACTATGCAGTTCAGGCTGGCTGTGAGCTCACTTGTAGTCCAGGCTGGTCTCGAACTCCCAAGGATCCTCCTGCCACTGGGATTATAGGTGGGTGCCGCCATGCCCAGCAACTCTGAAATTCTTGCTGAATATCACTGTTTTTCTCTTCTAATCACCATTCTATATTGATACTCATGGATTATAGTAACCAGATTTCAGCAGGCTTACCTTGGGGGTTAGGGTGTATACACTCATGAAATAGGAAATGGCCTCAGTTCAGGAAAGAATGTTCCACGTCTTTTTTTTTTTTTTTTTTGTATTCTAGGGAAGGGTCTACAGGGTGTTCAGGGTCTTACTAACTAGATCAGACTCATAGTGATCCACCTGTTTACAGCCTCCCAAGAGCTGGGATTATAGGTGTGCACCACCATACTCAGTCTCAGTTGCCGTCTCAGCGTGCCTTGGGGGTAGGGCAGGCACGGCAGGCCTGGGGATCCAACCCCTGACCCCTGTGCCTGCTTGCAGGTGCCTTACTCCACTGAGCTATTTGGCTGGCCCTTTGTTCCGTATCTTTGAGTACTACAGAAATGCAAATCGAAACAGCACTGAGTTTTCCTTTCGTTATGGTAAGAAGGTCTATCACCACGAAAGCTGGGGTTGCTACAGGGGAAAAAGATGCCTCTCATACTCTTGGTGGGAATGTACACTAGCATAGCTGCTGTGGAAATCAAAGCAGAGGCTCCTCAAAACCCCCAGGTAGAAATTCCATTTGCCTCAGCTCTGCCTCTTACAGCCTCCTGAAAGAGAGAAATGCATCCTCTTAGAGTGACACGCGCCTCCCACATTTATAGCAACACAACGCCCAAGAGCTCAAGCATAGAAGAGGCCTGGATGCCCACAAACAGATTAATGGATAAAGAAAACGTGGGTTACATACACACGGTGGAATACTACTCGACTGTGAAGATGGATACATTTCAGTCCTGTATATGAAAATGGATGCATAGGTGACATCCTACATAGAGGGTTAACGGTGTGCGGTTTCTCTTTTGTGAAAAACCTAAAATATAAATAATTGGAAGGGCAGATGGGAAGGAGGAGAGCGAGGTATGGTGGGGGTTGGGGAGTAAAAATGACCAAGATGTTCTGTCTGTCTGTCTTTCCATCTATTTACAGTCTAAGATGAATGCAGTTATCTATTGCCAATGTACTTAACAAAGCAAACTCGAGGAATGCAGAACTGAAAATCAATATTAGACCTGATGGGGAAGTGCAAAGAACCACACGGCTGACCCGTACGAGGAGCCTCCACTACCGTCCACGGAGTGTGCATTTTGGGGTTTCCCCTGGCGTGGCGGGGGCCCACCTGTCTTCCACAAGAGCCTGCAATGTTTTCGAATGAGTTTATTATTATAAAGTTCTTGTCTCCATGAGGAACAACTGCGATCCAGCTTAATGGAGCAGGATTTTGTTTTCTAAATGCTACGAGGAATGAATCTGACGCGGCAAAGCCCGAGCCCGCGTGTCTCTCCCCAGCCTCGCGTCTCGCAGGGGCAGTAGCAGGCGCTCTCCGCAGCAGCATTCTCTCGTGGCTTGGGCTCCAGCTTCTTTGTAAACCTGGCAGCCTCTCAGCCTATGAAG